GTGATGATGAATGCCACGCCATTCCTTTTCAAACTGTCATTCCCGGCATAGTAGATCATATGGTTGTCTGATTCAAAATGGCCCAAACCAGTCCATTTCAGCTCACTAATGCCAATAACAACCATATGATCTACTATATTAGGAATGACAAATTGAAGAGGAATGGTGTGAAAGAATGTTTCAAGATCTATCCTGAAGTACAATGCTATCAGTGATAGGATAATATTCATAAACCTACAAGGAAGACCAGTTAATACTATTATTCAAATTTCCACAGAATCACTGTACCAAAAAAATTAGTTAATGTTCAGCCATTCGAGAAAGTAGTATTAGATCAACAACTGATGGTATTGAAGGAAGAAGTCCAAGCTGCACTGAAGCACTGAAGAGAAACAAGGCTTCAGAAATTGATAGAATACTAATTGTGACACTTCAACACAAGGATGCAATGCTGGATGCACTGAATCATCTATGCCAAGAAATTTGGAAGACAGCTACCTGACCAATTGACTGAATGAGATCCATGTTTGTGTCCATTCCAAAGAAAGGTGATCCAACAGAATGAAGAAATTATCAAACAATATCATTAATATCACACACAAGTAAAATTTTGCCAAATATAATTCAAAAAATGGTTGCAGCAGTATATCAACAAGGAACTGCCAGAAATTCAAGCCAGTTTCAGAAAAGGATGTGGAATGAAGGATATCACTGCTGATGTCAGATGGATCTTAGCCTAAAGCTGAGAATACCAGAAAGATGTTTACCTGTGTTTTATTGACTGTGCAAAGGCATCCAACTGTGTGGATCTTATAGAATTATGGATAATATTGCAAAGAATTGGAATTCCAGAGCACCTAAATATACTTATATGGAACCTGTACACAGACCAAGGTGCAGTTGTTAAAATAAAACGGAGAGGTACTGTGTAGTTTAAAATCAGGTGTGCATCAGGGTTGTATCTTTCACCACACTTACTCAATCTGTATGCTGAGAAAATAATCCAAGAAGGTAGCCGATATGAAGAAGAATATGCTTCAGGTTTGGAGAAGACTCATTAACAGCCTGTGACATGCAGGTAACACAACTTGCTTTCTGAAAATGAAGAAGACTTGAAGCACTTGCTGATGAAGATCAAAGACTACAGTCATCAGTATGAATTATGCCTCAACAAGAAAACAAGAATCCTCACAACTGGACCAATAAAGAATGTCATGATAAGTGGAGAAAATACTGAGTCATCAAGGATTTCATTTTACTTGCATCCACAATCAACACCCATGAAAGTGGCAGCTAAGAAATCAAACATCACATTGCATTGGGCAAATCTGCTGCAAAAAAAGATGTCACTTTGAGGACTAAGATGAGTCTGATCCAACCCACAGTATTTTCAACCACCCGATGTGCATGTGAAAGCTGGACAATGCATAAGGAAGAATGAACACTTGATGCCTTTGAATTATGGTGTTGGCAAAAAATACTGAATATACCATGGACTGCTAGAAGAATGAACAAATCTGTATTGAAAGAAGTACAACCAGTGTGCTCCTTAGAAGGGAGAATAGTGAGAATTCGTCTCACATACTTTGGGCATAAATCAGAAGGGACCAGTCCCTGGAGAAGGACATCATGCTTGGTAAACTAGAGGGTCCGTGAAAAAGAGCAAGATCCTCAATGAGATAGATTTGCACAGTGGATGCAACAATGGGCGTGAACATAGCAATATTCGTGATCATGGTGCAGAACCTGGCAGTATTTTGTTCTGTTGCACATAGGAGTGCTATGAGTTGGATCAAACTCAGCAGCACTTAACAACAACAATTTGCTTAAAAAATATTTAGATGATCCCTCAATGGTTGCAAGAGTACTCAGCATAATTTACAAATCATCACTTTTCATGATGAAAAGGAAGGGCATTTGATTCATTTAATTTTAACTATGGGTTAATATAATGATCCAGACGTACTTTCTTTTCCTCATTTTGCACTTATTATGTAGCCACATAGTATTTTAAACTGTTCTGTTCTAATGACTTCACACTACATTAGGTCAGTATACAGTGCTCACATCCATAACATTATCCTGTTCACTAGTTGCTTACCTCGTCTCAACTCAAGAAGGTTATATAACTCCCTGTTGACCATACACTTATTGTCTCATTCTATCACAGAATCCATCAGGGCATTAGGCACATAATAAAAGCTCAATATATTCTTTTTAGTTAATTGATGCTGATGACAAAAAGAGATAGTCAACAAGTCATTCTTACATACTATAGTGCCTAGGTTAATTCTAAGCTTCCGAAGCAGAACATCCATAACTTTGAAAAAAGATGTTTTAAAGCCAGTTGGTCTCTGCCAACATTTCACATGTGCTGGTATGTGTGAGCTGGTATAAACATGAACAAGAGTAAAAACAATTTAATTGAGAACACTTCATACACCAACTGCTTTGCGACATTGCTTTATCAGTTTATTTCTATTAAAGATAAAGAGTCTTTATTTCTTTATGTTCTCGTGTAGCATCAGAAAGGCTCCATGTTATATTTTCAAAAACTAGGATCTAGATTTTATGATTAAAAATATTGTAAAATTATTTTTAAAGTATTTTATTCAGTGAAAGTGCTTACTCGTAAAATGTGAGAAGGGAAGCTAAAGGTTTAATCATTTGTAAAAGGAATTGCTATAGATTTATAACACATATCTACCCTTGCTTAGGAGCTCTGGTAGCATAGTGCCTAAGGCACTTGACTGCTCACCAGAAGGCTGGCGGTTCAAACCCACCAGCCACTCCT